CACATTTTCAGAAGTGTGGACTTCAACTCCCAGAATTCCCCAGCCAGCTCCTTTGGAGACATCGAAGTCTGCCATTTTCCTCACCAGAAACCAAGTCCTGCTTTTGTGCAACAGGTGTAAAAGGGGGGACGAGCTTCATTCATAAAGGGACAATTTGTATTTGGTTTGGGATCACATGACGACTTTGGGTCTTTTCATGGCAGAGTGGCGGTCTTGTGTTTTGAGCCCACCTCAACATTTTGTGCTCATCTTGGTAGGAAGCTGCTACAACTCTTTAGGAATAAACCTATTCTCCAAACATCTCAATTCTCTTCTGGAAACGTTTAATGCTAATTATTGTTTGTAGAAAATAAACACAAGCCCTCACCTTTGTTGAGATGTTTGTTGTTGGCTTTGCCAAGACACGTATCAGTTTGGCACAATTTACCAAACATCTTTTATCACTCTTGTCATCAGATGCCTCGCTTCTATTTGGAAGACAAGACACACAAATCAAAGAGTTTTCACTAATGGAGGGGTCATAAGAAATTATCCATCTAACATAGACTTGTATTGTACTTTATGAGAGATTCTGAATATGGTTATTCTTTGTCAAATGACTCCTTATCTCCTGGTCTTCATGTGAAACAACGATCATCATCTTCGGAGAACTGACTGGCTGGCACTAGCCTGGGAAAACATTGGTGCAGCCTCTATATAAATCCCATATCACACTTAATATCTCAGCACTTAAATCATACTAGTTGTGCTGCACGGCGTTTATATACATACCTTTTATGGACATTCACCGCAGATATAAAATGCTTATGATCTGGCCTTTCATAAGATTTTTGATTAAGTTTCTTTAAACAAAAATCAGTCAGAAAAAGTGCCTCTGGACTCCTCTTGTTCCAAAGGTGCCTTTTTCAAAAGGCAATTGGATTTTGTTTTTCCTTAAAGATGTTTCGCTTCTCATCTAAGAAGCTGAACGGAAGAAGCTTCTTCGATGAGAAGTGAAATGTCTTCAAAAGAAAAAACAAGGGACAATTTTTGGGGACAATTGTGATCTGGATGACTGAAAACCTTCACAGACCTTTAGCCTCCTCTGGATTTTTCTAACCACAAATTAACACAGTTGTCTGAGAAATATCAGTAAGTTTCACTCCTTCAAATATCTGAATAAACAACTGAGATATGCATTATGCAACAAGTGATTTGTTCCTATTCTACGTTTTCACACACGAATCTTACATAAAAGGTTTCATGTTGCTTATTAAAGCTGTATTTTCCATGTTTTATGCCATGACAGACAACCTGTGGCCCTTAAAATCTGGTATCTCAGTTGTTGAGAATAGCAAAGTTCCTTTGCTGAGAGGCACAAGATATTAAAACTCTTAGAGATATTAGTTTTAAAAGGCAAGTGTTCAATACAGCTATCACATCCACCAGCTTCGGCTCGGCGCCTTGCCATCAATCGTGAAGAAGAGGGGTGAACAAATAGGCAATAAAGCTGTTACTTTTCTGATGGGAACTTGGGACGCTCAAGGCAGTGTCTGTATGCGACGTACCCCACTTTACACCTCCAATGTTATCCCTGTACATAAATGACCATCACACCCCAATGTTGGTAACAGATGATTCCACATATCAAAAGAGTATTTATTTGCATAGTAGAAAGGGCAGGTAGGTGTAGAACTCAACATTATTCCTAGACTACCGGTACATAATTATATTCACAGTACAAATAAATCGGAATACATTTCAGCCTAGTGTCTCTACTGTTTGATGGAACACAGAATAGAAAATAGAAAAGTTGGCAACATGAAGCCTGCTCTGCACAAGCTACTGATTAGCGCAAAACAGCCGCATGTTGCCTAAGTCTCACAGCACGGCTCCGTATTAGTGGGAGGCTTGGCACTGCATGCCGTCAGCCAGCCGGTTGTAATTGGGAGTGTAGGAAGAGATGGCCACTCGCAAACAGTCGTCCAGGTGCTTGTCCGTCATCCGTGTTCTGTTCTTTGACTTGATAAATCTCCTCGTCGAGAAGACGGACTCACACTGGTAAGTGGACCCAAAGTACGACTTGATCTTTGCGACCGTCTTCCTTAACAGAGGGAATTTTTGGGCGTCCACCAGGTTCCAAAAGTTGGCATGACTCGCGTTGGACTTCAGAATGATGTCGTTCTGAAGGCCCACTATCTCCATCTCGACCTCTTCCACCAAGGCCTGGCACAGTTCCCCGATGGCCGCGGCCGTCTCCGCGACATCAATCGGGCTGAAGGGGTTTTCAAAGAAGGACACCACCGGCTCGATGCTGGTGAATTGCTGGAAGCGGGCATGGAATTGTTCCTCTAAAGTCTCGAGGTAACTCACGAAGGGCGCGTTGTTGAAGTCGCTGTCCCCGACCACTAGCTTCATGGAAGGGAAGGGAAGGAGGGACTTCACCTGCAGGTGCGACTTCCACAACCTCAGTTTGCCTTTGAAGGCGTGGACGGAAGAGATCATCCCGGAGAGATGCTTCTCATTTCGGTGCAGCTCAATATTCAAACTGTTGAGCTCTTGCATCAAGTCCGCGAGGAACGCTAAATCCACCAGCCAAAACCGATCATCCAGCTGTTCCACATACTGATCTTTGGTTTTTAAAAACGCCTTTATTTCATCCCTCAGGGTTAAAAACCTGGCCAGGATCTTGCCTTTGCTGAGCCACCTGACCTCCGTGTGCAGGATCAGGTCTCCGTACTCCGTGTCCACATCCTTCAGGAGGGCTTTAAAGAGCCGATGTTGCAAAGAGACGCCGCGGATGGAGTTTATGATTTTTGTAACCACGTCCATGACGTGTTTGAACTGCAGGACTTTGGCACACAGTGCCTCTTGGTGGATAATGCAGTGATACGAAATGAACTTGGGAAAAGCCTCGTCCTTCTGGCAGTGGGCAATGAACCCGTCCAGGCTGCCCACCATGGCTGGTGCCCCGTCGGTCGTGATGGAAGAAAGCTTGTGAAGAGGCAGGTTGGTTTCGGTGGCGTAGTTTCTGAACGTCAGGAAGATATCCTCACCCCTCGTTTTCCCTTTCAAGGAGAGGATTTTGAGCAGCTCTTCCTTTACTGCCAGATCGCTGAAGACGAGCCTCACGATCATGGCCAGCTGGGATGTGTCGGTTATATCGGTGGACTCGTCCAGCTGCAGGGAGAACCAGAGGCACTTCTGCAGGTCACTTTGCAGCTGGTACTCCAAATCATTCGAGATGGATTGGATTCTGCGAGAAACGGTGTTGCCGGACAACTGGAGCTTTTGTATCGCGGTCAGGATCTCTTTCTTATTGGAGAAGCCTTCGAAGATCGAGTCGGCGGCCGTCAGGAACACCTCTTTCAGCAGCTCCCCGTCCTCAAAGGGTTTGTTTCTTTTAACCAGCAAGCTGGCAATTTTGAAAGAGGCGATGGTGGTGTTCTTGGAGTGGACCACGGGCTTGGTATAAACGGTCAGCTGGGAGGCAAATTTGGACTTCATCTCTTTCACTTTCATTTTGCGCAGCTCGGAGTCCAGGGGGTAGTTTTTGGCGAAGGTGCCGTGGTTTCTCTCAAAGTGCCGCTGGACGTTGTGCTTCTTTGCCACCGCGACCGTGGACGAGCAAATTAAGCACACTGATTTGCCGTTCACGTCCATGAAGCAGTACCGTTCCTCCCATTCTTTATGGAACAGATACGTCCTTTGTCTTTTACTGGCTGGCTCGCTTATTTTTGCAACTAGAAAGAAGACGAGAAATAAATCACGGTAGTTCAGCGTCTGCTCGTCAGCAAAGACATTTTTAAAAGTTTTTTTTAATTATACTCCCTGAGCAGGTGGTGTGATGGAGTGTAGTCTGGATTCCCAGGAGGGAGGGGCTTCCTCCCAGAAATCAAGCAGAGGTTGGAATGCCTGGGAGCAGTAAGAAGGCTAAAAAAGCCCCTCCCTAGCAATTCGCAAGATATATCTCTAGTTATGCAGCTATAATCTGCTTTAGTCTGGCAAGATTCTGTCTGTCGGCAAACAGCAATAAAGAAACTACTCAGAAGGGACTCCAGGTGTCGTTCTTGGGACCTAAACACAGCTGCCATCTTGCCTTTCAGCCCCTCCCTTCCCCATCACTCATTAATGGCATTCCATGCTCAGCAAAACCAGAACATTGAAGAGAACTCCTTCCACACACTAAACATATATATATATATACTTTCTACCCAAAGAATTGTAAACATCTTCTTCACACCAGATTTGAACACCAGCACTGCGGTGGTGCAGTGGTTAGAATGCAGGACTGCAGGCTAACTCACTGCTCACTCCAGGAGTTCGATTCTGACTGGCTCAAGGTTGACTCAGCCTTCCGTCCTTCCGAGGTGGGTAAAATGAGGACCCGGATTGTTGGGGGCAACAGGCTGACTCTGCAAACCACTTAAGAGAGGGCTGGAAAGCACTGTGAAGCGGTATATGAGTCTGTAAGTGCTATTGCTAAATAAGCAGTGACCCAGCATTCGGCACTTACTATTCATCTTCTCTATTTTTTCTTGGACTGCATTTTGATGGAAGTTGCTGCTCTGCGAAGCGGAGCACTCGTTCAGTTCCATCATCCTTTTCCGATTTGGTACTGATTTTCTCCTCTGCTTCTCCCTCTTTTTAATGCCGTCTCCTTCTGGCAGCCCCAAGGATGGGCCTCCTTTTCTCTCGGCCGCCCACTTATCAGCTTCTGCAGTGAACACAGGAACCTAGTAAAAGCTCTTTGGGGAAACAGAGGCACTAACCCAATCCCGTTAACACGCGCTGTGTTCAGGATTGTCTTGTTAGGAAGAGAGGAGCTCACCGAAGGCAGCCATTAGTCCACGGTCTTGCTCCACGGCTTGCTTGCGGAAAACTTTCTGGCCAGGGTCTGGCAGGATCCCTTCCTTCTCGGTGACCTGAACAGCTACATCCTCTGTCACCACTGTGCCCTGAAAAAGATTAATAGGAAGTTGAGTCACTATAGCAAAATTCAATGGCTAGTTCACCATTGGGGTGGAATCGTGATTAGGATCCTGTATTGGTTTGTGGGAATGACGTGGAGGAACGAGGGGAAGAGATGCTACCCAGGGAATGATCAGATAATAGGAGAAGGAGCCCTCAACTGCTTAAGGGGCAAAGGAAAAAACGGAAAAAGCACCTTCTCTAATCTATACCTATAAAAGCGAAATACCACTCAAGCATCATCACAAAATCTCCAGGACCATAAAGCCTACAAACTTGAAATTTGGCACCTATGTTCCTCTTGGCTTCTAGGTGCTCATTATGAAAGGATTTTTTGAAATGACCATCAGAGCATTAGTATTTCCTATATTATTATTAAGACGCTCTGATGCTAAGGAGTTCTACTCCCACCTGAAAAGAAATCTCTTCCAAATGCAAAACACAAGCAGGAGAGAGGAGTTTCAGTTTCAGTCTTAGTTTCACAGCACTAAGCAGCTTTAGTACAGAACAGTTGAGCTAAGCCACGCCCAGGCTCCTTGCTGTCTCCTTGCTCACACAGCAAATACTGTTTCACTTTACAAACAGCCCTCAACTCTCTCACATACTGACAGGATGCTAACCAGATGAATACCGATGGATCCTGGTAGGCAGAGGCAGAATTCCCACCCACCCCCTTATTTTCCTTCCCAAAAACTAAGCCCAATCACATAGTTTCGTAGCGAAGCATGGGTGTCCAGTTAGTATATCAGACTGTTAAAGGTGACTGTGGGAGATTTCAGACTTACACGTTAGCCTTCCCAAGTAAACCAGACAAGGAAACACAACCACATGAATTAATTCTACTATACGGTAGGGCTGCATTAGCAGAATCTTGCACAGGTAGATTCAAAGGTGGGGAGCAGAGGTGATATTCAGCAGGTTTGGATCGGTTCTGCAGAACCGATAGCAGAAATTTTGAGTAGTTCGGAGAACCGGCAAAACCTCCACCTCTGACTGGCCCCGCCCCCATCTCTTCTCCGCCTCCCACTGAGTCCCAGCTGATCAGCTGGGTCTTCCTTGGTTGCCCTGCCAAGGGAGAACGGAGCTGGAAAGCAGGTTAGTGGGGTGGGGAGGGAATGGGGATTTTGCAGTAACCTTCCCCTGCCACGCCTACCAAGCTACGCAGCCACGCCCACAGAACACCACGCCCACCAAGCCACGCCCACAGCCGATCAGCTGGGTCTTCCTTGGTTGCCCTGCGCAGGAGAACGGAGCTGGAAAGCAGGTTAGTGGGGTGGGGAGGGAATAGGGATTTTGCAGTAACCTTCACCCTGCCACGCCTACCAAGCTACGCAGCCACGCCCACAGAACACCACGCCCACCAAGCCACGCCCACAGCTGATCAGCTGGGTCTTCCTTGGTTGTCCTGCGCAGGAGAACGGAGCTGGAAAGTAGGTTAGGGGGGTGGGGAGGGAACGGGGATTTTGCAGTAACCTTCCCCTGCCACTCCCACCAAACCACGTCCACACAAACAGTAGTAAAAAAAATTTTGAATCCACTGGCGGGAAGGCTAAGCGAAAAATGGGGGCGATCAACCTGCAATTCTCTCTCCCCACCTCCGCAACAGCCACCACACTTTCCCCTACCTGAGTCTGTTGTGTGCTTGTTATGTCTCCTCCGCCACAAAGAGAGGTTGACTGGGCACGTATCACCGACATCATTTCATGCCCTGGAAGAAACCAAAGGTGACCCAGGCAGTCCTTGACTCACAAAGCAGTTCATTTAGTAACCGTTCGAACGGCACTGAAAACGAAGTGACTGATGACCGTTATTCACACTTATGACCGATGCAGCATCCCTAGGGTCACGTGATCAAAACTTGGATGCTTGGCAACGGGCTCGTCTTTATGACGGTTGTAGTGTCCCTGGATCACTTTCTGACAAAGCAACGTCAGAGCCAGGCTCCCTTAACAACCGTGTCGCTCACTTAACAAAGGGAGGGCGGGGGGGGGGGCTTTGCCTAACAACCACGCAAGAAAACTCGTCAAAATGGGGACAAACTCAACGCACGTTTCCACTCTGCAACGTAAACGTCAGGCTCAGTTGTGGTTGTCATGTGAGGACTACCTGCCCACCTTCAGGCTGAGCCACCTGTCTGTCCTCACCTTGTAGGATGGAGGTTGCATCCCCTTCGTGTTTCATCCACCTTCGCAGAGCGCTCTGTCGGGCATCTGAGGAAGTCTTGAAGGGCTCGGGAAAGTTGGGCCCCGATTCTGTGTACTGAAACATAGAACAAAGGGGTGTGTGTGTGTGACATGGTTAGGAACCCCACTGTCAGCGTTCCAGCAACCTTCCATTCCGCCCAATAACTTCTCAAAAGTTCCGTTTTTATTTGGATAGTTAAACTGGCACATCTGGGGAAATCCCGAATCTGAAAGTTCCGGGCTTCCTTACAATAAGTAAAAACTACAAAAAAATCCACCCCCTGCACCTATCAATCACATCACATGGCCCAATCACCGTCCCTCCCAAGTTGAGACTTCCTCTCACTTAGGCGCAACACCACCTGACCTTGAATCAGAAAAAGAATGTTATTATGTCTAAACTAGATATACTCCCATAAATTCCCCCCTCCCGCTTTCCCAGGCTAGAGATGTGGCAGCGCGGGAGCATCGGATCTCAATATGGCTTCCAAAGCTGACACCCATCACATGTACCCACGTGGAAAAGAGAACCAGAACGTTCTCAGCAATTGAGAAGGAGGCCCCTTGGATCAGGGCCACAGGTGGTTTTCAGCAGGTTCTGACCAGGTTTTGGAGAACAGGTAGCGGAAACTTTGAGTTAGTTTGGAGAACCATCCAACCCCATCTATTCTCTGCCTCCCATCGAGTCCCAGCTGATCGGCTGGGTCTCCTTTGGTTGTCCTGCACAGGAGAACGGGGCTGGAAATCAGGTTAGTGGGGCAGGGAAGGAATGGAGATTTTGCAGTATCCTTCCCCTGCCACGCCACGCCTGCCACGCCACGCTCACAGAACCAGTAGTAAAAAACAACAACACCTGAATCCCACCCCTGATCAGGACCAAAGGTTTTTACCTGCTGTTCTTCTTGTTTCTTGTCTTCAGCCTGGGTCAAGAGGAAAATTTCCGCCAGGGCTACAGCTTGGGAACTGGTCTCTGCTCCGCATTCCCGGACCCACTTCTGCATCTCCGGGGGAATGACAGCCAAGAATTGCTCCAGGATGAGCAGGTCCAAAATCTGGTTCTTGGTGTGTTGCTCTGGCCTGAGCCACAGATGGCAGAGGTCGTGGAGCTTCTTACAGACCTCCCGAGGCCCCTTGGCATCCTGGTAGTGGACCTGCCGGAAACACTGACGATGGACTTCCGGGCGAAGCCCCCAGTTTTCTCCACTGCTCCCCGACTTGATGGTCTCAGGGTCCCTTCCCGCTTCTGGACCAGCTGCGTTTTGCTCATCCATCCTTGAGATGTTTTTTGGCCCCCGACAGGACAGATGACCTTGCTAGGATGCCAATTACAGTCACCAGGGACAATGATGGCTCTGACTGATGAGGGCTACCACACGTTCTGTAAAGTCAAGACCATGGAGTGTCATTGCAAAGTTGGTTCTTCTTCCGGGAGGGAAAGCATTTTCCCAGCCAAGGTTGGGTAGCTATCAAAGGAACCAGAGGGAAATCCATGTGTCAATTCATAAAACATTCCTATGCCTGTTTTAGTAGTTGCCATTAAAAAAGGGGGGGGGAGGGGGTTAGGAAGGACATCTGGAAGAGCAATTCCAACTCTTATCTTTAAAAGATTGCAACTAAAATACCAGTTTTTGCCCTCAAATATATTAAATTGGACAGCATGAAAGATGACACCCAGTCCGTGAAGGTGCTCAATTGGAGAATCTGGTTTAGGAGACCCCCCCCCAGGGAGGAGAGTAAATTATGTACGCCAGAGTTCGCTGCGTGCAGCGCAGTGCCAGGATGTCGCCTCTAATGAATCCTTTGAAGTTTTTTGAAGTTTGGCTCAAGAATCATGATTTAATTAGAGCGATTGCTGGAATCCTGCTGAATGAGCCTCCCTTTTGGACATCAAATTTTTGATCTCTCCGTTTATTTATTAGGTACGTCACACAGTACTCTTTCCCAAGGATTTTGGAGGGTGGAGTAAAGGGGCCCTCAGCAGTGCGAGACAACAAGGCAAACTCTCAACCGTTTTATCCTGTAAAAACGAGATGGTTCTACTCTTGGCAACTCTTAAGACTTGCGGACTTCAACTCCCAGAATTCCCCAGCCAGCATCCTCCAAAAATGTGATCCGGTTTTAGCGGGGAGACGTAGCCTTAGTCCAAAACCACACAACTTCCCATCTGCCTTCACAGAGTGACTGCAATCCCCTTTTTCCTCTACAAGAAGATTACATTCCATTAACAAACACTCATTTAGTGACCGTTCCTGGAGTGGTGTGGTGGCCTAGAGGTGGAGCTCTCGCCTCACAGTCAGGAGGCTGGGAGTTCGATCCCAGGTAGAGGCAGATATTTGCACAATGAAAATATATCTGCAGAACAAAACTCCTCATTGGCAACAGGGAGGGCATCCGGCCAGTAAATACTCCGCTAGCTCCATTCAGTTGCCCAGACTCCACCTGGCAAGGGATTATGGGGGTCATTAAAAGATGATGGTGACTTAGAGACCGTTCCAGTACAATGGCACTGGGAAAAGTGACTATGACCCTTTTTCACACTTACAAATATTCTCACGGTCACCTGATCAAAATTTGGAGGTTTGGCAATTTATGGTGGTTGCGGTGTCCCGGGGTCCTGTGATCACTTTTTGCGACCTCCAATGGCCAGGTTCACTTAACAACTGTTACTAAATCCACGCAACGATTCACTTAACAATGGCGACAAGAATAGCCATCCAATGGGGGCAAAGCTCACTTAACAACTGTCTCGCTTAGCGACAGGAATTTTGGGACTCGATTGCGGCCGTACGTCGAGGACTACCTGTAGTTCTCTGTGGGATCCAAGAGAAGAGCTGCAAAAAACGAACGGCAGCCCAACTCCCATCCGTCAGCACCCCATACAAAACAGACATCCTCTTGGGTTCCTTCCACGGGACATTTGCTCCTTCAAGACCCCACCCACCCCATGCACAAGAGAGAGGGGGGGAATGGCACGGGGGGGGGGTTGCAAGGGGACGCCCCCCTTCAAGGGGGCGCCCGCCCCCTTACGCTCCAGGGGAAAGAGAAGGGCTGCCCTACCTGCCTTCATTGTTCTCTCTCTCTCTCTCTCTCTCTGGTCGAACAATACCTGGATGCCGACCTACCCCTCCCTCTTTTGGCTCTGCAGAAGGAAGGAAGCAGGACAGCAGGACGAAGCCCCCTCCCCACCAGCAGACCCCGCCCTGCCCTTCTTGTTTTGCTTCTTTGTAAAGGGGGAGGGAGGGGAAGGTTAAGTTCGAGCCTGGGCATCTCCCCTTCCCGGGGGAGGGGAACCCCACCACCCACCGTCTCTGCAGCGCTGGGAGACACCGCCCCCCCCCCCCCCCCCCGTCCCCCCGCCTTCCCGCCCCAGTTTGCTTCCTCTCTAGGAAGGCGGCTCGTTTCATTTGACCCTTGCAAAGCCACGAAGAGGGATGCACCCCCCCCCCCCCCCCCCCCCCGTTTTTTTTTTTTGCAAAGCGGCCCAGGATACAAACATCTGGGCACCGCTGGGCGGGCGTGGTCGATGCGTGGAAAGTGCAAAGACGTGCAAAGTTGCAACGGGACCCCCACCCGCCCTCGGGTGCATCTTTTGCTTCTCACGAGGGGGGGGGGCAATAAAAAGCCCCCCCACCCGCCGCCATCCCTGCTGCAGGGAGGCGCCTTGCCTCGAAAGCGCGAGCGAGGCTGGGCTGCGGCAGGGCCGCCCAAGGGTTAAAATCAACGACGGTTGAGTTCCTAGAGAGGAAAGGAAAGGGGAAAAAAGGAAACAGGAAGGAGAAAGAGAGAGGCCTCTCTAGGAAGCAGGCTCCTCCCAGAAGATGGCTTGGGGGTGGGTGGGAAAGGCGCCTGCGCGGCCGCTTCTGCATGCTGGGACTTGCAGCTGGTGAGCCCCGGGGTTTTGGGGGGGGCTGGGGGGTGGAGTGGGGAGAGAAGGGCGGCCTGGGGCTGCAGGGGCGAGCCAGGAAGGCAGCCCAGAAAGTAGAGGAGACCCCCAGGCTGCAGCCCTTGCGGGGAAGGGGCTTTTCAGCTCATCCCTGTAATTCTTTCCAAGGGAAAATAACGGGTCTTGCAAGTAAATGAACAGATTAACACTTGCAATGAAAGAGCAGGAACAAACTGAACATTATCAGATGTGAGGATTCTTTTATCCATGGCTAGAGTCAAAAATAGGAAAGCTAGAACTGATTAATTAGGCCAGTGGAATACAGAAAAATACCTTAGTAGAATTATTCAATTCTCGCTTAGTTGACGTTAAGAAGAGGAATGCTATAGTAATGGAAATAACTTTTTCCTTTACCATTACATCTTACTCTTACTATAAATCAATATCTTTTATCCTTACATCTCAATCTTCTCCATGGTATATTTACATATTTCCTCATTCTTTTCCTAATTGCCGTTTTATTTTATTTTATTTTTTATTTCTAAACCACGCATACCAGGCCCTATAATAAATTGAATCTTCTCTGTCTTTTATAAGTAAATACATATACTGAATAATGTGAGGAAATGCAAAAGATGTATTGATTTTGATAACAATGTATAAAGTTTTTTTTTTTTTAAATTTGCAAAATTAAAAAAAAAAAAAATTTTTAAAAAAGGAAATAACTTGTATACCAATAGGATAAGGATAAGAATAGAGAATATTATTAAACTATTGAATATGTTGTTGTAAAATATAATTGTTAGAGCACAAGATATTTGTATCCAGATGACACTCCGTTAAATAGAAGATGGATGTATTTTAAATAAAATAACAATAATTAAAAATAATAATGTTCTTGGTTGGTATGCATGGGAGAGTGGGGTCCGCTTGGCCTTGAAACATGGCCAGAAAAGCCTGCAAACCCACCCACCCCCCAGTCTCCACTTTGCATAGTAATTCTGAAGAATGTGGTCCACGGAGGTTTAAACTAGGCATAATCTTGGCTCCTTTTAAGACCTGTGGACTTCCAGAATTCCCCTGCCTGGATGGCTTGGCTGGGGAATTCTGGGAGTTGAAGTCCACAAGTCTTCAAAGGGGCCAAGATTGCTCTCTCCTCTAGGGCTTAAACCGGGGGTCTCCAAGCTTGGCAACTCCTAAGACTTGTGGACTTCCAGAATTCCTCAGCCAAATTTAAGACTTTCCACAAGTCTTAAAGTTGCCAAACTTGGAGACGCCTGCTTTAAATCATACAGAAGAGAAACTGGTGTTTTTCCCGAAGATCTTTCCTTTTATATATCTTTTATGGACACTGAGAGCATTTGCACCAAGACAAATTCCTTGTGTGTCCAATCACACTTGGCTGATAAAGAATTCTATTCTATTCTATTCTATTCTATTCTATTCTATTCTATTCTAT